AACACTATAATCTTAAGCTTTGCAGGTTCGTAGTAGACTTTGTTAGAGCTCTACAAAAGTACTCTCTCATCTCTGGTATTGTTCTCTGCACCAGCTGGTTCTGCCTGCATTTCCATTCATGTTTTAGACAAATGGCGATACACAAAAGTCCTTGGGAGGAGAGGCAGAGCGAAATTATTATTACCAAGGCTTTGAACTCAGTTTATCGAAATGCTCCAGGATGAACAAGATACAAGCTTGCCTCAAAGACATTGCGTGGAATGCTTCTGAGAGGTCGTACATGCTTCCTATGTTTTCCAACGTTATATCCTTCCATTTGAATGTGACCATGTCAGATTTCGATAACTATTATGAACGCCGCATCACTTTACATTGCAATAATTCTAGCTCACCTGAGCAATTGTGTATTCACAGAGCCGCTTTAGCCCCTCCAAGAGATACTGATCCGCTGCTCTTAGAAGATCTTCTGATATCTCAGATGTTATGTCAACTGATCCAGTGTATATAAACCTGAACATCATCATCCAAGCGTGAGTCACTTACATGAAAATAAAGACTTCTCAGAGACAAGAAGCCTGTAGACGTTCTTCATTACCTCATCATTAGCTCAAAAACCTCCCATTTGATATTCGGAATCTCAATATCTCTAGCGTCTTTTTCCTAAGAAAAAAAAATACAAACTGAATGAGACATATTCCCTCTAATTTGCACATAAGATACATAATTATCAAAGTATTCATTTTACAGAGACAACAGAATAAAACCATAGGTCCTAGTCATCATGGCTAGTAAATGACAATTTCCATTTCCTCCGCAAGAACATATTGAAAAGGATTGGTCACCCAAAAAAATTAAATCACTTACTCTGTAACCACCATCGAACATTGCTCTAAATGCATCTGAAGATGCCAGCAGACAAATTCTGTGTGCATAGAATCTCCTCCCTGCAGTAGGATTGCTCTGTTTTACATATGTAGTTTGGGGCTAACAAAAGACCTGCAACTTCTGGATTAATATGATTACCTTCGACTAGAAAGGTTACATCAGACAGCGTAGCATTATTTACATATTGCTCTCCGAGATAAACCTGCCACATAAAGACAACAAGAATACCGCACTCTGAGACTTCCTTCCCTTAAGTGTTGGAAAACTGAAGCAACAAGGAAACTCACCCTTTGTGTTGGAGAAGGAGGAGCAGCATCAACTGGAGAAAGTGCCATAGATTTATTTGCTAATTTGTACAACGCTGCAGCACCATCAAGTTGATGCTTAGTGTTTGTAGAACCAAGAAGACTGAGTAGATACTCCAACCCTGTCAAAAGACAACTCGATATAATTTATTTTGCAGAATGAACATCTAAACTGAATGGTTAACGTGTTAAAATAATACAAGATAGAAGCATGCGCAAATAAGTTTAAAAAGCAATCACATGCCTTTGTCATCTATGAATATGGTTCTCTGATCCTCGGGTGAACAGAGATGAGCAAGAGCAAGTGCAACTCGTCTTTGGATAGGCTTCTCGGAAATTCGCATTAGGTACAGCAGGTGTCTTAGAACCTACAAAAGATAATAAAAGCAAACATATCTCAAAGGTTGGATAGAGAAATGCTGAACTTCGACAGATCTCAGAAGCTAGACCATGGTATAGCAGTTTCACTACAAACCATGCATTGTGTATGTTATAGTCACCAGAAATGGAGCAAACAAGTTTAAAGACAAGCATAATTTCACGTACTCTTCCATGAATCTTCTCCTCCAATCTCTTTAATGTTTTGGAGACACAGTCTTTAGTTGCCTACAAAAACATTGCATATTATAAACACCCTAGGGGAGAGTAAAATAAATACAACTAAAGCTGCTTAAAATTCAAAGCCACTATAAGGAGTATGTCGATGTGACTCTGGAGAGCATAGAAAGGGTAACAACGCCATACATACTTGAACAATAAACTCTCCATCCTGTAGCTTCTGGATACCTCCCACCCTGATAAAATCCGACACATTATCCTAGGGGAAGAAAAATGGATCAATAACCCATTTAATGAGGTTTACTATAAAGTTTTGCACCCTGATTAGAACATACACAGAAGGTAAGGTAACATACAACATACCTCATTATCGGCAAGGCCATAAAGAGCAAATGCGGCATTATGTTGCAAGGATCCATTTCTTGAATCAAGAAGCTTCAATAAAGGTCCTAAACCACCACTATGGGCAATACCAGCTTGATTGTGGCAATCCTGTAGAAAGAGTATGTAGATGTTGAAAGTCATATTGGTTTTCTTATTGACTATAACTCAATGCTTATAAGACGCCCAGGGCTACTTAAAACAGTTTTAGAAACACAATACTGAAAAATACACAGCTATGATTATAGGAACTCATCTTCCATATCTAAGGAATCCAGAACTTTTTACATCTATGAAAGCTTACATATACGTACGTAACCAAGAAGAGAAGAGTAGACAACCAGGAATATGGAAAACTATCCAGGGTGAATAGGTATTATTAGAACAAACTAAGAAACAAAAGAAAAAAAGTGTTTAACATATTTATAGTATCAAGTATTCGTACTGGAAGTAGAACAGGAAACACCAAGAGAGCGAAGTTGCACTTTTACAACCCTCAAATGGGGGATGCCTCAACTTTTAAAACTGAAACTAACAAATGTTTAAGACAAGAACCTGTGCCAGTCTCCCCAGTGCAAAGGCCGACATTTCCTTCAACTGAACGTCTGGTGACTGAAGCATCTCAATTAAAGGACGGACAGCACCTCTTTGCACAATGTGCACCTGCAAAGTTATATTTTTTCAGTATAAGCAGACACCATTAAATCAATGAAAATGGTAGATTTAGTGGGAACTGGGAACATATATTCTACCAATCAACAGTAACAAACAACTTCTCACCAAGTATAACCAACTAGAAAACATAGATCTTAGGCTTTGGGGAATGGCAAAAGAGTTGAGGATAAAAACTCAGGATGAAATAGTACCTTACAATCAGAATCAGTCGAGGCAAACTGCCCAAGTAACAAAGCCGCCTCTCTTTGGCTCTCAGGGCAACAAGAGCTGAAATAGAAAAATTAACAGCAAAGCATCTTAACTTAAAAAACCTCAGCAATAGAGAAGCTAAGAAGATTCACAGAAATTTCAGCTCTAATCAAGCAATGACAGCTCTGCGCTTAACCATGTAAATCAGACTGGTGAGTTTTTACACGTACCTAAGAAGACCAATGACAGGTTGTAACGCCCCGGCAGCAAGAACCTCTTTTTTAATGTTTGGAGATGAATGTACTAGATTGCCTATAACTCCAACCTAAAAGCACAACTCAACTGGTTATTTCAATGTCAAACCCGTGTAGATAGATAGCAAAATAGGTGATTATGAAGGATCTCGACCCAGTATAAGTTTCCTAACCGCTTCATAATGTATAGCAGCATCCTCTGATCCTAGCATTAGGATGAGAGTGGGAAGAGCATTGCATTCAACTATCTGCGGGAAAAAAAGAATTTATCATGCTCCGTACAAATCTGAAATCTCAGTATAAGCTGTAAGATAGCAACTTTTACCTGGTTCTTGTTATCATCATTTTTAAATGCAAGAGTTCTCAATGCCCCTGCTGCTGCTCGCTGAACCTTTGGATCGGAAAATTCAAGCAACTCCACGAGAGGTGGAATACCACCTTCTAGCCTGCTTGTCAAGAAATGAAAGTCATGAGGATAGTTATACTACAACCAAATCTTTAAAAGGAGGAAATCACTAAAATATGCTGACCTAACACGGGTCTTGATGCTGCTGTTTTCATGAGCAAGATTGGTGATTGCATCAGCAGCTCTTCTGATAACACTAACAGCAGCTCGAGAACTAGAACCATCTTTGTTTCTCTTCAACAGATTCACAAGATGAGGTAAGGCACCTTTGTCTACTATCAGTTTCTGATACTCTGGCTGTTTAGCAATCAAATTCCACAACAAGATCACACAAACTATACAAAATCCCCTCGGTCGATAGAAGTATCTATTACCAAAACTTGCCTAAAAGAACTAGATTTGGAGCAAAAT